TTGCATGCCTGGGATCCCATATGGGCCCGGGTTCTAATCCCGGCAGCCCCACTTCCCTTCCAGCTCCCTGCTTGTGGCCCGGGAAAGCAGTCGAGGACGGCCCAAAGCTTTGGGACCCTGCACCCGTGTGGGAGACCCGGAAGAGTCTCCTGGCTGCAGATCGGCATAGTATCAGCCATTGCGCTCACTTGAGGAGTGAATCATTGGACGGAAGATCTTCCTCTCTGTCTCTCCTCTCTGTATATCCGCCTTTCCAATAAAAATAAAATAAATCTTTAAAAAAAAATTCATAGCCAAAAGTTCTCAGAAGAGATAATGAAAGTAACATCAAGCAGATGTTTGTACAATATGAGAAATTTGGATACTGATAAATACATATGTCTGGTATGTGCAGGTGTGTGTTTTCCTGACTTGTGAATAAAGTTCAGTAGCCAAATGTATGAATCAGAAACATCCAGACTTCTAGAATCTTAAAACAGCGCCAATCACTGTTAATCCTCAGTGCTCAAGGGTTCCATATGTCTGGCTCTAGCAGACTGTATATTTGTTCCCCGAGTTCACATTCACTGTTGGGCTAAACATTTTATAGCTCTTGTATTACCTCTTTGTAATATGGGTGGGGTACACTTTCCCACCCCACTGACTTCAGATTTAGTGATATGACCGAATTTGCTTAAAAAAAAAAGAATGTTAGCAGATGCTACGTGCACTGAAGTTTCAAATATGTCGGCCTGGATGGGCAAGGTTTATTGAAAAGAGTACACTCCCAAAGCGGCTGCTCTTGGGACAACAAGCATGTTAAGTAAACCTGAACCTGAATTGACCTTCAACCTGAAGTTGACCCATCCCGAACAAAATGCAGAACTACAAGTCTTTTGTAAGTGATACATACTGTTTGTGAGCCACTGAGTTTCTAAATTTGTGTATTAGACAGCATTATTATAGCCAAATGTTGACAGATATATCAGAAGAATTCTTCCTTTTCTGGATTTAGCTTTCAGTGAAGTTTACACATTTTCCAATCCTCTTAATAATAGATACAACTAAAGAGATATGAGGGAGGTTATCTCTGCCTCAGGTCGATAAACCTCAGGCTTTCTGATGTAGGATTTGTTATTTCTTTTGGAAGCATTGCCATGCTAAGATATGCTTTACAGAAAAAGCCAGAAAGCTTATTTGAATTGTTCCTACCTTTTTCTCATGCATAAAAATTTTTTAATGGTGTATCCCATTCCAGGGGAATGCCTGACATATTGATTTGGAAGCAACTGGATTCTTTTCCTTAGATAGCTATCATGAATGCAGAAATGTGGGGTAGCATTTTAAAATCCCTTTTCAGGAGGCACACAGAAAACTTTGGAGAATCAAATGCAGCTTATCTCCTGTATTGCTTGCTGCTTGGATGGCTTTGTCTGTGTTGCACATTGCTGTGTTCTGTTTAGCAATGGACAACCACATCTCCTGCCATTGACAGGCTGATCTCACTACAAGTTCCTCAAAAGCCCTGATAGACACAGGGGAGGGGTACATTGCCTTTTTCTAGCCTTGCCCTTCTCAGCAGTTAGGGCTATACAGACTGGCACATTCCTAAAAGGACAATCATCCCCACTAACTGGTAGTTTCCTTATAACTACCTGGTAGGAGGATACAAGCAAAATGTGGTAAAGCAATGTGTGAAGCATCTGGCTGCCCACTCTGACACTGGTCAGCTAGATTGGAAATACAGCTTTGCAAATACTTTTCTTTCTGAGAAGAACCTCTGTTCTTTATATCTGCACATAGATAATGGGTCACTAAGGATAAGTTTAGTGTCACGAATGAAGCCCCACCTACATTGTTTGTAACACCATCCCATGGTTGTGTTTGTACATAGCATGAAGTCCCTGTATTTCAGACCTGAGTTCCTCCCACCTAATGTGAGACTCCTCTTCACACAAAAGGCTATCCCATAATGAATTACTGATTGCTCCAGTTGTGAGGTCTGGCTCCTCAAAGTTATGGGTTGCTTCGCTCAGTTACCAACACCAGATTACTGTCATTCCTTCCCTTGCATGTTTGTGAGTTGTGACTTTTGTTTTCTTGATGTGTTTTTGAAAGATAAATCTCCTCATGTGTTAGTGTGGATTGCTGAGAGTTTGAAAGTTCAGGATACAAGGAGAACTATTAGGAAAACTGGTAGAAGAGAGAGGCATCCCCTGGACAGTTGATAGAACCATAAGTGACTACATGGTGGTTAAGCTTTAAGAAGGATACAAGGGGATCACCCAGAGAAAGAGGAAGACTAAAGGCAGATCTTGAAAAAAATGAGAATAGATCCTGGAGTCGGAGAGGTAGTGAGCACTCAGAGAGAAAATAAGCAAACAGGAAGGAAAATTTGGTGTTTTCTGCCAGCATTGTCTTGGGAATCTTAGGGAAAAGGTTTTAAATGCTAGCCCTGCCTTTTTTTAAAAGATTTTTTATTATTATTATTTTTTATTGGAAAGGCGGATATACAGAGAGGAAGATCTTCCGTTCGATGATTCACTCCCCAAGTGAGCACAACGGCTGATACTATACCGATCCGAAGCCAGGAGACTCTTCCGGGTCTCCCACATGGGTGCAAGGTCCCAAAGCTTTGGGCCGTCCTCGACTGCTTTCCCGGGCCACAAGCAGGGAGCTGGAAGGGAAGCAGGGCTGCCGGGATAGAACCGGTGCCCATATGGGATCCCAGGGTGTGCAAGGCGAGGACCTTAACCATTTGCGCCACTGCGCCGGGGCCTAGCCCTGCCTTGACAGGACTCCAGGAGAAGTGGTCACGGATGTCTGGAGTCTGTCTTCTCTGGCACCATTGTTTATTCCAGCAGATGGCCTGAAACTAACCCAAGACCATGCACCCATTTCACAGGAAGGTTGTTCAATGGCAACTCGCCTCACGGCTCTTGGCTGACCAAGATAGGCACTTTCTTGGAGAGTTGTGAGAGTTAGGTGAGTCTGTCAGGTGAGGCACAGAGAAAGTGACACAGACATGTAACAAGCAGAGCTGTGCATTACCAACAGATCCTAGAGATAAGGGGCAGCGTGAGTTAACGGGCCGTAAGGAACAGGGGTGATCGTAACACACATGTTCAGCCGGGGGGGAGAGAAAAATTGAGAAAGATTTGTTGATCAAAGACCTTATTTTTGTCCTAAGTGTTACCCAAACAGGTGTCCCTGCAGGCTATTCTGTTCAGTAGTTTTAAAGCAAGCAGACAGGTGTTATACGAATTCATGTTGTGACTAATGGTGGTCTCTGTGGCTTATCTGTGTAGTCCATATTGGATATGGGGGCCAATAGGGAATGTCAGATATGCTGTACCTAGCTGTTCCATAAAGAGGTGGCCACCAGGGGGCAGCTGAATAAGGTAGATGTGTATTAACTGGATGGGGAAGTATGAAGAGGCAGAAGAGTGCAGACAGCATCATTGACTAAGTCCTGTTCCTTTCATGATGAAATACATGTAGTAGCAGCATGACATATGAATCCACTGCAGTGGTGTGTACAGAACCCACACTGCTGTAATGAATAACACATCATTACATAGCACAAGAGTTTTACAGCCTTGTTCTGTACAACAGAACAGAGATTTATTTATTTAAAACATATTTATTAAACTTTTTGGTATGATCTGGGCACTTGACATATGAAAATAAAAATTGTGATACTTACACATTGGAAGTGAGAATGGGAGCAAACAGTGAGCCAAATTACAAAGCAAAGGTGTGCTAAAAGGTGATAAAAGGTTATGGGAAAAAATACCATAAGAAAAATCAGTATGGGGAATCTAGAGTGCAGGAGTATTTTCAAATTAAAAGGATGATCAGAACTGGCTTACTGAGTAGTCAGTGTTTCAAGGAGACCTGAGTGCTAGGTCTGTTATGACATGCAACACTGTAGACAGAGGGCAGCACCAAAATCAACCTATGAGGATAGAGGACTTAAGAAGTTGGAAGTAAGACAGAAGACAATGTCCAAGAGTCCAGACACCCGTAAAGAGCCCGGAAGCCATGTGAAGGCCGCACATACCCTGGGAGATATCAGGGAAGTGGACTATGGGCTGCGGCACCAGAGACAGCATCAAGTTGGGACTAAGAGAACACAGCCTTGCATACTGGAGGCACAGACAAGGCCAATGATACAGAGAAGGAAGAGGCTGAAACTTTGGCTGGTGGGGAGAGGGCAGCCAGGCCTCAGTGTGGTCCAGTGACAGCAGAGCGGAGTATCCACACCAGTAATTTAACCCCTTTGTAAATTCAGTTACCTTAAAGGAGACGGGAAGGAGGAAAGACTAAATAACTGAGTGTCTGTTTCAGGAGACTGAATTATAAGAGAGAGGAACAATGAGCTCAGTTTGGAAATATACCCACTTTTTAAAATAGTGTTGCAAAATTGTAGCTCATTGAATCAACCTGAATTTTTATTTTAGACTCGAGAGACTTATAATACCGGTCATATGAATGGTTTGCAGATGCTAAAAAATCAAGATTTTTTTTAAAGTTATTGCAATCTTTAATCCTTGAAGGTCATGCACTATCTAACTGGTGGAATCATATATGTTCCATCTACTACTGGCCAAATTTTTACTGGTTATTCTCATGCATAAACTCTTTGATTCCATCTATATAACCAAGTTTAATAAGATGCTGTGCTCAAGGGGCTGAAAGTATAATATAAATTCTTTGTCATTGGCAGTATATGAAATTGCCCTTAGACATTTTCTTTTGGATGGGACAAAGACAAAATTGAAGATGAAGATTATTTTTGAAGAGTTGTAAGATTGCAGAGTAGACAAATTCAAGGAGTTGTCTACCCACTTTCACCTAAGCCCCCAATCCCCTATTATTATTAATATCTTATATTATTGCTGTACAGTTTTTTTTTAAGATTTGTTTTTATTAAAAGACATAGTTACAAAAAGAAAAGGAAAGACAGAGAGGGGTTTTCTATCTTCTGGTTCACTCCCCAAATGGGTACAATGGCTGGAGCTGCATTGATTCCATGCCAGGAGACAGAAACTTCTTCTGGGTCTCACACATGGGTTCAGAGGCCTGAAGACTTGGCCCAGCAACCTCTACTTTTTCAGGCCACTAACAAGGTGCTCGATGGAAAGTGAAGCAGCCAGGACTAGAACCAGTGCCCTTGTGGCATGCCAGTGCTGCAGAAGTAGCATTAGCTTGGTAAACCATGGAGCCAGTCCCCAGTGCTGTAGAGTTTCCCCAGCTAGAGTGGTGTATTATAAAGTAAAGCTCATGGTTCACACTGGACAATAGCTTTTAACAAATGTCAATATGACAAATATTTGCCATTATAGTTTTATGAGATGGTGTCTCCTAAATATCCCCTCTAATTGGCCTGTTCATCCTGTTCGTCCTTGCCTAACTTCTAAATCCCAGAAACTATTTATCATTCACATTTTCCAGACTGACATATAGCTTCTTCAGTTTGACTTCTTTTAGTTTGTGCAGTGTATAGCCTTTTTGGGTTGACTTCTTTCACATAACAATAAGTATTTAAGTTTTCTCCATATCTTTCCATGACTTGATCACTCATTTATTTTTATTACTGAATAATATCCTATTATATTTATGAACAGTATTTTGTTTGTCCATTTGCCTATTAAAGGACATACTGGTTCCTTTGACTTTTTTTTTAATTTACGTTTTCATTCTGTTCTATGACTGAATATTATTTTTTCATTTAAATCCTATTTACTACTAGAAGCATTAGTACAATGCAATATTAGAGCTTATTTAATTGTAGGTGTTAGAAACAACAAATGGAATTAACTTAAAGAAATGGTTTAATTTACTGTAAGGATACTTTAATATTGCAAAGAGCTGAAAGAAACTGGGACTTGAGAATGAGTGGAATTCATCTCAGAACATTTCCCCTTGAGTGTGAAAACAGGTTGTTTATAAATGTATTTGTCAAACCATCTGGATATGCTTGCATGTGTATCCGTGTATACAGATATGTGCAACTGAATTTTTTCAGAATGACATTTCAACAATCTGCAACTTTAGTCAATAGAAAGAATGTATCCTGATTTTCATTTTGATACCCAAATTAAATTACTAATGATGGAGTTTAAAGAAAGAAGAATCCCCATTTTAAATACAAAATAATGACAGCTATCCAAAAATCTCTGAATAACGGGAAAATGAGAGAATATTAAAATATTTTAGTGATTTCCTTATGTTTTTACTTTCCTAGATTTTATTAAATTATTTTGTTTGTTTTAATGAAGAAGCGCTAGATTAAAATTATGTTTATAACCATGTCTTAGGATAGCTTCTGTTTTCAGGGTGTATTTCTGGCTCTTAGTATGCTGCTTAGAAATTAAGATCAGGAAAGATTATTCAGTATTGTTTAAGCAAATTAACACCCTTCATGTGAATATCTACCGTGGCCTTTCTATGTTTAGCTGTGCACTTGTCTTTACAGTCATTTTGGAAAGAATGAAACACAACAGAGACAATGCGTCTCAAAGTGCTAGAAGCAGCCACACACTGATGAATTTATCGGTTATGGCTGGAAGTTGAAATGACAAAGAATACAAATATGTTGTGGTTTTAGTTTCAGAAATGCTATTAGATAGGCAGGAATGAAAGTAGCTATTCATTGACTATCATTATTCATTTGCTCGTTCAATCAGTGCTTACAGAATGTTTGCTATAAAGAACTGTCACTCTCTGCGACTCTTTTATGAGATTGAACTCCATGAGGAATGACCCCGTCTGTGATCAGATCTCTGTATCATCAGTGGGCAATGCTGTTCACGCTTCACAATAAGGACATAATCAACACATGGAGTTGAACTGAGTCAGCTTGCCTGGTTCTGACAATCACGGATGATGAGAAGTTCTCTGTGCTTAGGGATCTCTGCCTAGTGAGGCAGTGATGCTTTGTGGAAAGTCAGCAGCACATGATCAAAAGTTACTCCCTTTAATCAATAAGCTACAGTGTGCCTCCCACTACACACATAGTACACTTACACCTTATAGCAACCCTGTACACGTGTGTATGCTGTGGGATGAGGGATGCTACATGGAAAGACTAACACAGTTTTTTAAATTACCTGTTTATTAAATAGCCTGGTTGATAAATCTTATAGTTTGGATTTAAAGTCAGGTTCTTAAAGAATTTTATGTTTAAATTCATTAATGGTCTGTATGGTGAAGCTGCACGGTTTATTTATATTTTCTTTATAAAACAGCTCCCTTTCCTTTGAATAACATGAAAAATGCTGTTGATTTTGAATAACATGTTTGAATTGTTTTCCAGTTCAGATTATGTGACTCATTAAAATGTTTATTCTGTCTCACTTGTGACCAAGAGCAGACATTTCCAAATCAAAGCCAAGGGTTTCTTAATTAGCAACTTCTTCCTCTGTGTAACATTAAATGGCTCTATGGTTGCCAGGGAAGGAAGTGCTGTCGAGTTTGGCATCATTAATGCCATGCTTTAGTCAACTGCTCTCTCTAAACTTTCCACAGCATCTCTTTGATTTGTATAACTATTAGCTTCCAGATTTTAGTAATCCTTTCAATTAAATTAGATTCTAAAAACTCCTAATCCAAAAAAGAGAGATTTTATACATTTTTTATTTATTTATTTTTATGGAAAAATTCTTTAATCAAAACAAGTTTACACATTGATATTTATGGCTTAACTAGAATAAATCTATCAAAATTAAAATTGAATTACGGACCGAGACAGGTATATAATGTAACAGCAGAGTTAAAACAGGGGTCCTAGCTTCCATTGTAAGACCTCTCAAATGCAAAAGTCCAATCAGTGAGACAGTTCAAAATCTTAACCTGCAGATGAAACAATTACCTGAAAAGTCAACTTACAATGCATTTCACTCACAAACACAAGTGTTAAAATCCGTCTCCCATATCATATCGTGTCAAAACATAAGTATCTTCCTATCTATTGAAACCAACTGCCCTAACATCTTAGGATGCGATCCTTTGTCACATACCTAGGATCTTTAATAACATTGCTTTACTGTGATTTAGTCTCTACCTTTTGTAATATAATCTTCCTGTTGCAAGTTTGATATCAAAAATGGAAATACAAATTTCTAACACATCCATGTTTTCAGTTAGTTGCTTTGTATAGTATTTATATTTTCTACATAAGTATCATGGACTATTGTTTTCCTAATTAAAATTAATGGTTTTCTTAATGAGTGTGACTTTGTAGAGACTTGTGACATTTCTCAGAAATAAACTTACTGTTTTCAGTTTTAGTTGCGAATGCCTGTAAAGGATCTTACATGGTTGAGCCCTAAAGCCAGACTTATAATACATGTGCAATGTGTTCTCTATGGAAATCATGAGATTTTATATTATTGTAGAGATTGAAACATTAATATATTCAATGTTTTTTCCACATGCTATAGAAACTCCTTTAGTCAATGAAACAAAACTAGTATTATTTTGTGGTTGAGGAGAGGCCTTTCTTATACAATAAGGCTTGGGTAGGTTTATTCTATAGGCAGCGAGAACCTGGAGTATCTGGGGCTATTTTCCATAGGATCTTTACCCTTCTCTGTCAAAATTCCTCTTTATCATGCATTCATATGAACGCTATCAAGGCATGCTTCACTTAATAATCATTCCTTTTGTTCCCTGCAATCATCACTATTCACTGACAGTGACAGATTTTTCTTATAGAGACACATGAAGCTAAATTTATCACCAAGCCATGGCCTAATATGTGTTAGGAATTAAGGGCTTAAATGAGATAAGAGAAGAAAAGAGGGGGTGTATTCTTATAGCTCACCATTTTGAACATAAATATATCTCAGATATCAGCCAGTATCTCTTAAATAGCATTGGAACACAACACCACTAACTTTGGTAAACAAAGCTGTTTCTTTGAAACCAGTGTGTAATTCATGATCAAGATATTAAATATAATATTCATCTTAGAAAATCAAGTTTAGGAGGGGTATGCTGAAAAAGTTTCAATACCTCAGTGCGCCTCAACTGTTGACATATGCCTTGTTAGAGTTATAAGCCAGTTTGGACTATCCTAAAATTCGCCAAGTTCAGTAACAATGATTCAATACTATAAACTGCTAACTATAAAAATGAAAATAGACATGAGACAATGAATAGTACTCTATAGCCATTTTAAGGTGTATAGCAGCCAGCTGTGTATAAACAAAAATTGAAATGTACATGAAGTAGTCACAGGATGTGGTTAAGAACTTGCATTTTCTAACATATTGGTCACTCAATACCACGTCAATTAACTCCATAGTGTTGTAAATTGTTGTGGATGTTATGTTGGGGCTTTTCATTGGATGGGATGATATTCTGCCAGCTCTGCTTTCCAACCAAAGATGGTCTCCCCAAGAAACCATTGAATTTATCTGGGCAGTAAGATGCTGGACTCTAGGCATGGTACATGCTTGCAATGAAGGGATCATGACTGGATTTGAACTGTAATACTGCAACAAGGTGGAGGAACCCACCATGGGGGAGGCATAGGGAGGGTTGGGGGGAATCCCAGAGCCTATGAAATTGTGTCATAAAATGAAATGAAATAGAAAAAAATCAAGTTTACTTTTGTTTCTTAACTTCGGTTAACTTTGGTTAAGGGTTTTGAAGTGATGGATCTTACCTTTAACCTGATGGATGCTCTCTAGTCCCGGTGTAGTTATCAAATGTTGTATGAAATTTCAACAACTGGGATACATATGCCTGTAGGGAGTTTCAAACGTGAGATTTTTATTGTAATGAGCATGCACATTTTTCAAAAATGCATTTGTTTTATTTGAAAGACAGAGTTGCACATATATAAAGAGAGACAGTAACCTTCCATTTGCTGGTCCACAGCTCAAATGACCACAAAGGCCAGGATGAAGCCAGGAGTCTGGAACTCCATCTGAGTCTCCTACATGAGTACAGAGGCCCAAGGATGTCATTCATTTCCACTAATTTCCTAAGCACATTTTCAAGGAGCTAGAACCAATGTGGAATAGCTGGACTCAAATCTCAGGCTCCTATGGCATGCCGGCAATGCAGGCTCCCCCTTAACTCACTGTGCCACAGCACTGGTTTCAGGTGACACACATGTTAATAGTCATGATGATTTAAATGTTTTTAAATGAGAACCAAACCTTCATTACAAGACAAATATTGTGTGCACCAAAATGAATAAAGCTGGTATTAAAACAAAAATAAACCCCACAGTATTCTCCAAATGAATCAGGGATAAACTGAGAAAGTATACTAAAAGGAAATAAGAATTTGCTAAATGTTTACTTACTTTTACAGTTATGTAACAATCTAGACTTTTAAAGGGAAAATAAGAACATGAAAGATTAGAAGCCCAAAAATGTGTTTTTCATCTATAAAAACCTCTGACATTCCTTTAAAGCAATGTGTCTTGATTATGTCCTTATATGACATGTTTATAAGGATTTATTTGATCATCTTGGGGATTTGAACACTATAACAATCCTTGTCTCATCCACCCTGGTCCAGTGCTCACCCTTCACCTGAGTGTCCTTATATCCCCTTTTGATGAAAGTGTTTTGGCAGCAGGGTTGGCACCTCCAGGTTAGGCTAATGTCTTCCGCCAGAATAACAACTTAACAAATAACAGTTGCTTAGGTGAAATATATTTCTTGATTATTAGAAAATGAAAGACTTGATTTAATGCAGTGTGCATCTCTACTTCCAAACCAAAGATGGACTCCCAATGAAATTGTTAAAATCTGGAGAATAGGATGTTGGACTCTGCCATTGTCCTACCTTCAGTGTCTGGATACACTTTAATGTTAGAATGATTGACTTAGGACTGTTTTCTAAGGACTCTACTCTTGTAATAATATAGGGGGAATTATTGAAGGGGAGGGGAAGCCCCAGAGCCTATGGAATTGTATCATAAAATAAATTAAAAAGAAAGACAGTCTTCGAAACTTGATGCAGTTCATATGCTTTTAGATCAAATAAAAGCAAAATTTATTATACAAAAAATAGAAATGGAAACTAATTCTATATATTCATCAAATTTTACTTCCAAATAAAAACTGCCTGCTATCAGGCAAATTTTCATCTATGTCCTTGAATAATACTTCTGAGTGTAACAAGTTGAGATATTGTATGCTTTCCTGTTGGGAGAAAACCAAAACATTTTCCATGAAGTACCAATTTTTCAGAATTTACCATATATATGACTTATGAATATATTCATTGTGCATTTTTTCAGTCAATTCAATGTTGAATGTCCCAGGGACAGAAACAAATGATAGAGACAATTAAGGATTAAACAACAGTTTCTTTCCCCTAAGAACTCTCAGCATAGGCCGATGTTACACATGACAAAGGAAAGAAGTGACACATATCACAGCCATTTGTGAATTAAATACACATGGCATTTGTTGATAGCCTTACTTCTGGAACTTTTGAACCATGGTTCATTCCCAGAAGTAGGTCTATAGGACTTTGATTAAGAAGTGCACAAAAATAAAGGGAAAGGGGAGAATAAACAGCAAGAAGAGAAACTTCTGGAAGAATGCACATTATCTGAAAACCCTTTGTTATCTGAATCATTCACCTATTCATTAAATTAAAAGGTATCACACACCTGTGACACACTGTCTTCAGTTTATCTAGGGATGAACTACATGGACATGGTGTGTCGCATGGGAAAATTATCTAGGAAACAAAACCAAAACTAAGATTTCCAAACAAAAATATCTAAACAGTGAACAAAATTTTACGTTAAGACATCCACTTGTTGTGATAAATCAAGTGGTGGGAGGTGGAGACAGGGAATCTGTGGTACTAGCATTAGAAATAATCACTTTTATTTATTCTGTTTTATTCCTCATTGTTATTATTTTCCATGGTATGGTTTTTGTAAAGAAGGAACAAACACATTTTATTTATATCCATAACACCCCAACTCTTTGGAAAAAGGTAAGGAGGTGTATGTTATCATTTTGCCATTGTACAGAGAAATCCTTGTTAAGTAGAAAGAGTGTTTCTGGTATGTTCTATAGCCCCTGACCTATAGAGATGCACGGTCATTGATGGGCCTCTGGATGTCATCTAAATGCATTTTGTACCTCTTAAACACCATAATCATCTTCATCATCAGCATTTTCACAGTACTTTTATTAAATGTCTATAGGTAGAGCAGTTCATTAGTGAAGGGATGCATGTAATATTATGAACTTTGTTGTAATGTTAAGGGAGCATGTAGATAGAAGGTAACTTGCTGTTGCCAAAATCTCATGCTATTAAGATATCCAAATCTGTGCAACATGCCAAGCGTGGCCTGCAGTGGATGATTTGAGTCTTAGCTGCAAGCAGATGGTCATTTGGATGCTGATTAAGATTTATACGCTGTGTGCCTTTGTTTTGGTTACACATTTTGATAAGCTGTTTGTCAACTATCTTCCAAGTGTATTCATTGATAATGAATTAAAACTGAAAAAATAACTTAGTTCCTTGAAAGGATTGTATTGCTTTGTATGTGTCAAAAAGATCAGAGTATAAGAAAATATCCTGCTAAAATAGTCAGCATGAGATCATGAAAGCAAAACATCAAAATTCAGTGTGGGAACAAGTTAGCTGTTTTGTGTAGAGAGGTTCAAATGGCACATCAGTGTAAGCAGTTATAGTTTCATCCACTCTGCGAACCTCTTTGTCTTTCCCTGCACTAATGTATCTCTTCCATGTTACAAATAATTGTACAGGGTCCAATTTTTCTCTTTCTTGCCTCTCTCCCATCCATTATCATTCATACAGGAATCTGAACTCACAGAATGTCGGAACTGCCATGGGAGAGAGCTTGGGCATCTCATGCCCCTGCACACTGCTTGGGTGTATTTGGGCCTGGAGCACACAAGCAGAGGAACAACCAAGCAAGTTTTACAAGGTGTGACTCATCTGATGAGGACCGGGCTGACAAAAGATGATCTTGTGTTCCTTATTTTATTTTTACTCTTCTTGATTCATATCCCCTTCTTTCAATATGCTTCTATAATCCCTTTGTAACAACAGGAAGTTACCATTTCAATAATGCTTTGAGGCACAAGTGGAAAGACTATTCACTGTGGCTGAAAATAACATACTTCATTGGGAAAGAAACAAATAGAATAAAACCAGGAGATTACTTGTCACTGCCTAAGAGGAAATTCTGCTTAGTTTTGGGTGAAGTTTGTGAGTATCAAAGACATGAAAGCAATTGATTTGGCATCTTACACCTATGGTGGATATTTTGCCCAGAAATGGCTTTGGAACTCTCCTTGACTTCAAGGCATTAGGTACAATTCTCTCACTAATAAATCAGCAATATTTGATGTTTCGGTGCTGTGTGCATAGTGAGCAAGCAACATGTGAGCGCACTTGCGGGGATGGCGTTTCTTAACCTGACTTCAAATGTGGGACTTGGCTTTGCAGTTTCACAGCAGGCAGAAGGGTTGTTTTCCAGGTGAGGGGTGGGGCAATATTGAGAACACTGACCCTAGAAAGGAAACATTCATGCATTACAAATAATCATTAGAACTGAGGGTTCTAACACAGCCTCCATCACATGTCAAAGAATATAGAGCAAACTTCAGAAGATTGTAGGTTCTGGCATAAAATCTGTATGTGAGGAAGAGTACTGTAAAGGCAATAAGTGTTGGTGTACTTTTCCCTTAAGATTTTTATCTTAAAATTATGGTCATGTTACATTCATTATAGACTTTTTCTTCAGAAATAACGTTAATATTTTGTTGATTCTTAAAATATGGATTTTAAATTTAAAATATTATGACAAAAACAAAAGATTAACAAGATTGGGGCAAAAATATAAAATTATAGATAGTTGTATTATGTAAGCACTAACTATAAATTTATATTTGCATAATGATTACAAGAATATTATGTATTTATTAATCTATTGAATAACTCCAAGAATTGCCTCTGTCCTCAAAAGCAGCAACCCACCTTCAAAACACATTATTCAACTTCAGGGATCTCAGACACCAGTTGGAGATACATTTAAAAGGGAATAATATTAATATGCTATGGTTGATGTCACAGTAGAGGTTGCTGTTGCTTTTGATTTCATGAATGTATTCATAGAAGAGGTAATGTCAGATGTAAAATTTAATAAAAACCGTAAAAGAGCAAATATATGCTTACTGAATGATTTGGGAAAGAACTTTTGGGGTAGAGCCACCAAGTTTTGTAAAGAGTATGGAATCTTGAGGAATGAAGATGAGTGTGCTAAATGTGGGGCTGAGCACTCTTAGAATGGCCAGTGGGATTAGAGAGGCAAGTGGAACTAAGGGTAAGGTGTTTTGTAGTATACCAGAATTTTCATTTAGTTCTGGAAGTAGTAAGCAAATTCAATTTTCAAGTCAAAATTATCTTTCTAATGGCAGAGGGAATCAAGCAGACAGTTTCAAGCGGTAATAAACTGTTAAAGAGATTACTGCAAACTTGTTCATTAAAGAACCATGGCTTCATGCCCACAATGATGGACATATGACTGTTTATGAAGAACTATGCTACAGTAATGATATAGGGGAACTCAGTGAGGAGGATGGGATTGGGGAGGGGATAAGAGAAATCCCTGGGCCTAGGAACTATATCACAAAATGATAGTAATAAAAAGAACCATAGCTTCACTATCTTGTGGTTCTGAGGGTGTGAATCTCTAAAGTAAAAATATATATATATGTTTAGAATTTATATTTCCTTTTGCAGTTTTAGGAGCAAAGTGTTTGTTTTTTGTATCTCTGCTGCCTTCTAGAAGTTGCCATAATTCCTTCACTTATTATTTTTAAAATCAAGAAATTGCTTTGGAGATTCTGGGTAATTGCTTGCTTACTATGAGGACACCAACTTAATCACTGCTAAAACAATTTCATTGGTTTTCTGACCCGCTGCTGTTTGTATGTTTCCTGCTTTGCTTTTTTCTCAGCTCTTGTTTATCTGCAGTCTTATCCAGTTCCATACCTCAACCATTCACTGATGTCTCAAATTTCTATGTACAGTCCACACACCCAACCAACTCTCAGCTTTACACAAGTGCACTTCCAAACTCTCATGGAAAAATGGGACTAACCTAAATTTATTATGTATATTATATATATATAAAATCCATGGATCAAAATTACTGAATGGTTTGGAACTCTTTTTTACACTAAAATAAATTTATTTTTTAATTCTACTTCCCCTCAATATTTAAAAAATCCCCTCGTATATCAAATATTATCATGAAGCTTTAGCAAATTCAGATATTTCCAAAGTCAAATTAAGAAAAAATATCTGACTACATTTTTAATGTCTGTAGCATCAAAATTAATCGATAGATTTCAGCAGGGAAATATCCTGAGCTTTTGGTTACATAAAGTATTCCTGTTTCTCTCTATGCTTTCATATTTACTCCAAAAATATTTAGGAGAAACAAATCCCCCTAAATACTTAAAATTATATTTCATTAGGTGTGCATTTAACCTAGTAGTAAGATACCTATGTGTCCCCTTGCCATACATGGGCTATTCTAAACTCTGTTCCTTTTTCCAGCTTCCTGATAATGTAGTCAGCATTGATTACTTAGGTGTTGTGTCCTCGAATTAGGCTTCTATTCTCCAGCTAGGGGCTGGTGTGGGCTTTTGGGGGGTAGACCTATCATTAGAGCATTTTCACTTCTGTCTGTCTCTCTTTCTGCCTCTCATAAATAAAATGTAAATTTTTGAAATGCTGCTAACTTAACTGTTTCTTTGGGAAAATCCTCTTCCTTTTATTCTGGAATATAGATGCCTACTGCAACATATCTTCGCTTCCCAGTATGCCAGTCTCCGTTACCCAGTTCATCTGTGCAAATGCGTGTATATTTATTTACCTATGTATCAATTTGTTTTTGTTTTGTATGAAGATTAAAAAAAAAAGGTACTGCTATAATAATAAGGTGAAAATGGTAGGAAGGGCAAATGGGGATGGGAAATGAGAAGGGAAAAAGGAGAATCCCTTATATTTACAAAACTGCAGCAGCAAAAGTAATAACTACAAAGATTTTAAACGTTAAAATATATTTAGATAAAAATTTGTACATAGTTTAAAAATATGCTTACTTTTTAATCAACAGACACTGATTTCTTAGCCGTTTGTGTTTTTTTAACCAGCATAATGACCATCTCTTTACTTATGACTTAAGTAGTTTACTATTTTAATTAATGTAATTTTAAGTGTATTTGTGCCTTGAGGGAAGTTAAAACAGAGGGTATAGTTTCTGATCCTTTGCAAAAATAAATTCATCAACACAAAAGCCAATTGTAGCTCATTGACCATGAGCTGTAATTCAAGTTGAAGAACTTTGTCAGTCCTATAGACTAGCTGATGGGATAATTTAAGGTGAGAGATGGACTAAGCACAGTTCTACAAAATTGGATGGAATGAGGAAGTTTGGTTGTGTTTTTTGAGCAAGCTGAGACGTGAAGCTGGACGTAAATGGAAGCAGGCAAAGCACATCTTACCTATCTGGAGTGTTCTTTCAGTACTGCCATCTTAGAACATTTACAGGGCCATTGGTGCCAGGAGGAAATGAGGCTTCTATGAATTTTCTCAGTATATTTGAGAAATCCAAAAATGAGTTTCCTTCATTTCATGTTTCATGTTTCATGGGTTTTTACTACAGGGTTTGTTTAGAATAGATGAAGTATTGGAAGATTTTTAATTCTTCCTCTTTTGCCAAAGTTTAAAAACGTTTTAAATATTTCGGGCCCGGTGCGATAGTGTAATGGTTAAGGTCCTTGCCTTGAATGCCTGGGATCCCATATGGGTGCTGATTCTAATCTTGACAGCTGCACTTCCCATCCAACTCCCTGCTTGTGGCCTGGGAAAGCAGCAGAGGATGGCCCAAAGCCTTGGGACCCTGCACACCCGTGGGAGACCTGGAAAGAAGTTCCTGGCTCCTGGCTTTGGATCGGTACAGCTGCAGCCATTGCGGTCACTTTGGGGAATGAATCATCAGACAAAAGATCTTCCACTCTGTCTCTCCTCCTCTCTGTACATCTGCCTTTCCAATAAAGTAAATAAATCTTTTTTAAAAAGATTTTTTTTAATATTTCAAGAAGACAAGTAAGTTTACTGGAACTTAAAATTTGATTGTCTCAAAAAAATCTTGTGATCAAAGGTCTTGTTACCAAAGGTCTTGTACTGAAGATAAACTAAAGATGGAGATATTAGAAGTTGTTGTTCAAGAATAAACTTGTCTTTGAACTGAAGGCATTTTTTATTGTTCAGCATCAGTATCTTTCAGGGTATGTAATTGGACAGGTTTCTTAATGTCTCATTTTTTTCACTTCTAAATTGAAATTAATAATGATTTCTAGAGCATCAGCCCCATAGAGTTTTGGAGGAGACTAAATGAAATAAAACCTTAAAAAATTGAAACCAAGCCAGACATGTGATGATTTAAATTAATGATAGATTTATCCATACAACTAGGTTTATTCATATGTAATTATTGATGTCCCACTCTAAAATTGGATGATATCATTAGAATATAAATTTTCCAGGGAGTTTGATTTCATAGTCTATATGCTTCATTCTTACCTCCCTGGCAATTACAAGCTTTGCTCATAAAATCAATTTCAGTGGAAATATAGTATACACTCAAAATTTTAATTTTCTTCCCACTTTCCCTTCTACTCCATGAACATTCACCTTTATCTTTGCCTCTAATTTCTTTTATGAGTTTTCATCTTGGTCTGTTGTAACCCAAATATTACTTTATATTCTCTATTATTTTACTTTTTATTTATGGTTTCTGGCTTGCAATTTTTTTTTATAGGAACCCAGTCTCGCTCATCATAGACTCATCAGGACAGGTAGTAAATCTTAAAGTCTCCTCTCCCCAACAGCTGGACAGCAATGTCATCACCCAGGGTCTTTTTCTACATTAAGATCTACTCTGGAGACGTCTCAATTGTCATCTCTTACAGTATCTAGAATAATTAAAATCTATGCATCTAATTAAAATCTATGCATCTAATTTTACATTAAAAACCGTTTCTACTTATAAAAACAATACAGTTGCACAAAAGAACACATCTAAAAATCAAAAAGAATATACTTGTAGTTTCAGGATGCAAAATGACCATTTTCTTATTGTTTTCCCCCTCCTCACTTCCTTCCTTCCTTCTCTCCATACTTCTCTCCCTCTCTCTCAATTCTGTTCTTCCCTTCTTTCCTTCCTACCTTCCTTTCTTCCTCTCTTCTTTCCCTTCCCTTTCCTTCCTTCCTTCCTTCCTCCTTCTGCCCTCTTTCCCTTCCTCTCTCCCTCCCTCCCTTCCTCCATCCTTCTCCTCTTCCATTTCTCCTCCGTTTTCCCTCCTCCCTTCCTCCTTTCTTCTTTCCCTCCTCCCTTATTTCCTTCCCCTTTCTCTCCCTCCCTTGTTTAGTTCCTTCCATCCCGTCCTTCACTCTGGCTTCTCCTTTCCTCCTTCCATCTACCTATTTATATTTTTC